AAGAAGCGCCGATCAGCTGGAATGTTGCAGCATCTCCAGGGTCTTGTGATTTACATTCAGATGCTTGTCAACCGATTCATATTTATGACAGTCACAGTGTCCCAGGGTCATGTGAAGTGACCAAAACCTGCTGCAACCATCCAGCAGATGGGGGGAATAAAAACCAAACACACCCACCCCACCCCCGTTGCCAATCTTCAACAGAAATGCTCACAACAATGAAAACCTCGAACAGAAGGAAGAGCGCGGCTGGGCGGGCAGGCAGGTGTCTTGCTTGGCTGTGGCTTGGGGGGTACTTTTTTAGGTGCCATTGTAACTTCAAACAGTCACTAAGCGAACTGTTGTAAGTCGAGGACTACCTGTACTTTATCACTTTTTTCCTTTTTTTGTCATCAAGTTTTTGACACCTTACTAGGCGACTGGTGGTACTCAGATGTTGCCATATCCTAAAAGTGGTACAATGGGTGAAAAGGTTGAAAAGCCCTGATATAGGTGACTATCCAGTCTTTTCTTAAAAACCTCCAGTGATGAAACACCTACAACTTCTGAAGGCAAATTGTTCCACTGGTTAATTGTTCTCTCTGTTAGGAAATTTCTCCTTAATTCCAGGTTGCTTCTTTCCTTGATTAATTTCCATCCATTGTTTCTTATTTTGCCTTCTGGTGCTTTGGAAAATAAGTTGGGCCCCTCTTCTTTGTGGCAGCCCCTCAGATATTGGAATACTACTATCATGTCACCCCTAGTCCTTCTTTTTTCTAGACTGGCCATACCCAATCTTTGCAACCATTCTTCATATGTTTTTGTCTCCAGGGCTTGATCATCTTAGTTGCTCTTCTTTGCACTTTGTATTTACAGCTGTTTATAATGTTCTACAGTCACATGACGTTCTATGATGGTTTTGCCAAAAACTGGCTCTTTTGGTTCTTGACAAAACTGTGGCAAGAGCGAACCACATATGACTGCACTATTTGCTTTACAACCACTGTGTTTGCTTCACGAGTGCTGCAAAAAAAGATTGCAAAATCAATATGTCCTACAACCATTACGACCTATTATTGTAATGGGCTATAATGATATTTCAAGGACTACCTATATGTAACTTGTGTCAATTGCATCCTTTGTGTGATGGCGTTGTGAGATGTCACTTTCCCCCTTTCCTTTCTTTGATGGGTGCCCATGTTTACTACTGAGCAAATCTAGTGTCCTACACTTCCATTTACAGATTTTTCTCAATGACCATCACCATGTGCCTATTTACCTGGCTCTTCAGGACCAATCCTTTTGTGGAGGAGACTCTTACCTGTTTGTTTTCTGCAAGTGACGGTTGTTTAAACTGTCCCTTTGTGATATGTATGGGTTGTATCTTCAACTGCCCCCTGCATTTTTTTTAACAGTGTTTCTTTGGGGTTCTTAATTGAGAAAAATCTCTTTACAACTTTTGGCTTGTAAATAGATTGAACTTGAATTGGGGAAATAGGAAGAGAGGAGTCTAGACCACCTTTTGTACCAGTTGTAATTTTTGCAGGAAATATATGTTCAGAACCACTGTGAAATAGCAGCTCCTCTCCTTGTGTGTGTGTGTGCGTGTGTGTGCACGCGTGCACCTTTGAATCAATTTTTGACTCCTGTCAATTGTCTGGATAAATTCCTGCTGTTTCCCTGGCAAAGTTTTTCAAAGTTGCCATTGCCAGCTTCCTAGGATGGATAGATAGATAGATAGATAGATAGATAGATAGATAGATAGATAGATAGATAGATAGATAGATAGATAGACAGACAGACACACAGACACAGACAGACAGACAGAATAAAATAAAATAAGACAAGGTTATAGTAGCTTTTCTTAAGACACTTAGCTTTTCCTATAGCCTCAATCTGTTCAGTTTAGCCTTCCTTCCTATGGAGCCTATTTCTGGTTTAACAATTGCTATTTTAAAAGGAACACAGCATATTTCTATATCGTCCCTGCTAGCGTCATCACAGTTCATTGGATTAATCCATTTATTTCCCTATGTCTTTGCAGTGCCAAGTTTCAGTACTGTCATTCTTCCCTTTAGTCTAGTGTCTTGTGTGAACTCAGCTTTAGGAACCTCACAGTATTGTTGTTGTGGGGAAAACAGAAGTATTAGGTATGTCTGCTGTCTTGAGATGCTTGCAAAGTATTAAAGGTGGGATCAAAACAATAAATAAATATATAAATAAAAATGGAAGGTCCAGTTTGAACCCAAGTTCCACCCACTCACTGACTTGGGGCAGATTCTGTGTCTGAGCCATAGCTACCTTGCAGGGTTATTGTGTGGGCAGAAGCCTGTGCCAGCACCATTAATATATTGGTGGAAGTGTAAGATGAATGCGCAAAAGAGATTTCATTTTATTTTTTTTAGGGGTGATGGAAGAATGGGAGGCCAGAATGGAAAGCGCTCTACTCTATAGTTCTTCCTTCAAGAAACGAATTCTGGATCCCTTGAAATATGGCTAATAATTTACTTCTACGTGAGCCTCTCTTTTCGACTCCCTAAGCACACACATAAAATGGAGCTAAGGCAAGCTCCCTGACCAGGTAGAAAACAACAGGCTTTTTATATTTTCTCTCCGGGTTCCCCGCCAAGCTGGGTGAGAATAAAGATTTACAGTGTTTGAGAGATTAAAGGCCCTTGTTACATTGTTCAAATACCACGAGATTAGTTTCCAAGGCGACGGATGCCAGTTGCCATAGGCACCATGGGGCCTGGAATTAAGATTTGGTGTTTTTTTACCCTGGTCACGCAAACAGGAGCTGAATCAAATGGCAGCCGCATACATGCGTCGCTCTGTCTCCGCACGCATGTGGTTGAGTTTTACAAAATGAGGTAGAGAAGGATATTTGTAGTTCTGGAATAAGAGGTGGCCCACCTTTTGGGTGGCAGAAACCTGAATGGGCCCGAGGCTGAATCTTTGGGGTCTCAGGTTTAATTTGGGGATGGCTGAGAATGCTTTTCCAAGGCATCTTGCCCAGAGTCTCATTTATAAAATTGTTAGCAAATCCGTCATCGTTATCAGCATAGTAATAATAATAATCAATAATAATGCAGTGGTTTTGATCTTCTCTGCTCAGTTCATTTCAGTTTTCTCTGTACTAGTGTCTCTGCCTCCTTTTCAGCAATGTTTTTGCAAAATAGGCCCTTTTCCCCCAGCTATTTTTGTAAAAAAACAAAAATTCCTTTTAATTTTTGTGTTTTTATTTATTTGATTTTATTATTTTTTATTTATTGGATTTTACTGTTTGATTTTTTATTTATTGGATTTTACTTTGTGATTTTATTGGATTTTACTGTTTGATTTTATTATTTTTTATTTATTGGATTTTTACTATTTGCTTTTTTGAAATTAGTTCTCCTTTTGCTCCATCTGCCTCCCTCTGTCACTCCTCTTGACTTCAGTGGAAGGCAATGGAGAACGATGATCACTGTGTTTTTTTGAGAACAGATTTATCAATCCAGCTGGGTTAAAGAGATTATAGATATGACAGAGCTAATCCCAGAAGGTCACCTGGATTTTGGCTGTGGGATTGTGTAACTCCAGAGCAAGGGTATTTGTTTTGATTCTGGACAGGTTGTTGTAGGACCATGGTTAATTGTTCTGCAGACACCTGAGTTATCATGCAATGCCCCATGGTGTATTATATAGGCATTATATTTATTACTGAGCTTCTTCTAGGAGTACAATGCATAGTGTTTTTGTTCTCCTCAATTTATCTTCATAACACCCCTGTGAGGTAGGTTTGGCTGAGAAGGTGTGACTGTCAAACATTGCCTAATGAGTTTTTCAAATTTATCCTAGTTTAGTGCTCTAGCCTTAACACAACATTGGCATTGAACATTTGCTGGTGACTATCCCACTTAATTATACTGCCTCCATCTTTATTTAAACCCTCTGAATGGTTTTGTCCCATCTCTGTTTGCCTTCACAATTTTAAGCAGGGTGGAAGACTATCCTAAAACAGATATGCCCTTGAATTCACCCAGTGGCCTCAGAGGCTGACCTGGGTCATGAGTTTGTTCCTCTGAGTCCAA